TAGCCAGCCCCTAAGAAGGCATGGCTACAGCTTCCCCTACATCTGTGTCTTTATGTTCTGCGCATAGTAGGCCTTTCCAGAAAGTACTTAATAAGATGGAACCCAAGCACTTGCTCTAGAGGTTGGTGCCTAGGGACTGTATCAATCTCTTACCTGCAGGAAGGGAACAGCTGAGCTTCACAGGAAGCTCACCCTCATCCTCTGGAAGTTGGCTCAAGGACCATGACTCATAGGTCTTTGAGGTGGCTGGGTTAGCTGCATCCAAACTATCTTAGTTTACTTTCCATAGTTGTAATAAACACCATGACCAAAAGCAACTGAAGGGTAAATAGTTTATTCCCGCCTACAGTTGTAGTTTATCACTGAAAGAAGTCAGGGTGGGAACTCAAGGAAGGAACCTGGAGGTAGACCCTGAAGCTGAGGCCATGGAAAAGCACTGATCACTGACTTGCTCAACCTGCTTTCTCATATAGTCCAGGCCACAGTCATGAACAACTCAAAGCAAAACCAAAGTCTGGTGTCTGATGTCTGGGACTCACTATCTTCTGGGCTCCAAGAAGCCTGTGCAGCCTTACCTTTCTGGCTCTCTCTGCTGCAGTGCACATGGCTTGTCTCCTAGACTCCCCACACTGCAACACACATGGCTTGTCTCCTAGGCTCACCCTGACCCCATGCCACACTTGCTGATGTCCTTACTCATCCCGTAGTACTGACATCTCTAAAATGCTGTGCTCTCCACCCATGGCCTCCTGGCCTATCTTCAGGGACTCTGACCCTACCACATGCTGCCAAGTCTCAGCCTTTTTCTCCACAACCCCTTCAATCCTGGGGCTTCTACTGCAATGGAGGTTGCCCTTTCATCAAGGGCTTCTTCTGGTCTCTCTTAGTGCCAGGCTTCAGCTTCTTTCCATGACCCTTTCATGCCTTCAGAACCAGCACCACCTTACCAAGTTCAGATGCCAGCCCCAGATGCAGCCATGGCCCGCTCTGTGTACTGTACAAGTACACAGCTTCTGTGTACTGACCCTAAGGAAACCCTTCCCAGATTTTAGCTCATTGATGCTGGTGTCTTGTTTATCATGGCTGATTCTTCAGTCCCAGCTGACCAGAACCATGGATTATTTCAAAATACCACATGAAATCCCCATAGAGGGAGCAGGAGACTGCTCTTTCAGAAGACCTGGGTTCAATTCCCAGCACCCACATGGCAGCTCACAACTGTCTGTAACTCCAGGATCCAACACCCTCACACAGACAGACGTATAGGCAAAACAGCAAAAAATAAAATTAAAAGAATGGCATAGAGTCTTTGAGGGACTTTCAAACTTCCCTCCAAACTTCCCAGCATGATTTTCCAAGTTCTCACAACAGCTCATTATTCTTTAAGCATTCAGATGGCTTTTCTAGCCCAGACTCCTTCCATACTGGCCCTCTATCTCCATGGTTCTCAACCTTCCTAATGCTGCAAACCTTTAATACAGTTCTTCATTTGTGGGGACCCCATACATAAAATTATTTTCATTGCTACTTCATAAAAGTAATTTTGCTACTGCTATGAGTCATAATGTAAGTGTCCGATATGCATAGTGTCTGCTATGTGACTATGAAAGGGTCTCTGGACCTCCCAAAGGGGACATGACTCACAGACTGAGAAACACTGCTCTATCTGATGGGCATGGCTGTGAGACCATTTGACTAGAATCAAATGGCAGAGCTAGAGATGCTCTCCTAGCTGTACTCCTGTGTCCCATGACCCATTATTTCTGGCTCCTCCAAATAGAATACCAGGGTGGTCACTGTGTCAGGAAACAGGGCAGTTTGCTGTCATTGGTGTCATCTGCACATGCCCCTCACTGGGGGCCTGGGGCTGAGTGCTGGGATCTGGTTGGCTCTACCTGTCCCCTTCCTAAGACTTGGTCCGAGTGACCGTCTGACTCTTTGTTCTTGTTCACAGGATGATGATGGGCCGATTTGGTAAGTACCCTGGTTTGGGATGGGACATGTTGGGACCTTTGGGCACACAGTGACCAACCCAGAAAGCTCTGGGCTTCTCATGGGCATCCTTATGAATTTGGGCAGGAGGGGTGAGGCTGGAGTGAGGGAGGAGTGCCAGCCTGGAGAGCATCTCTAGCTTACCCAGGAGTGAGAAAAGGAGGTGATTACCCATTCAGTTGGCCCTGTCCCCACGCAAGAGAGGACAGACAAAGGGACCAAAAAACCTGAGTGCATTTTAACTCTTGGAAGTAGAAGCCTGACTCAGACCTTAGATAGAGACAAGGATGTGGGAAGTTCAAAACAGAAAGCCCTTGGCCGCAATAGTGTTCTCCAGCCAGCAAGGAGGAGAGGAAGAAATGGAAGCCAGCTACAACTTCCCAGCTCTTTTCCAGATATGTGCCTGACACTGGGGAATCCTTGGGGGTCAGGTGCCTCCTTCAAAACCCCACAGAGCTCCTTTCTCTAACCTGGAGGTTGTAAAGGAAGAAAGGATGTGAATTGCCCCCATGGAGAGTGGACACAGCTCTGATGGCCTGGGAGGTCTTGAGCTAAGAGAAAGCCACAGCCATGTGGCCCCACAGCCTTTTCCAGTGGACAGGTGTTATGGTTGCTGGGAGAATGCACAGGCTTTTCAACATTTTGATAAAGCAACTCAGCTCTCCTATTTCCTTCCTAGTCTTTAATGTCACTGTTACTAGATACAAATAAAGGAAGATGGAAGGGAGTCTCTATTCAGTCTGTGAAGGAGAGGCAGGGTGAAGGCAGACATGGGTCCATGTCGGACCCCTGCCTGTATCCAGGTGCAGGCTAGTTTAGAGACATGTCTTCCTGTTGCAACATCCTCTACACGGAGGAGGCCCTGAACCCCTGGGGATTGCAGAGGCGGGAAGATGACAAGTGGGGGAACCTGAGAGTGTGTCTGAGTGTGGAGCTGTCACTTCTGTGTTTGGGTTGGCCCTGTTTCAGGTTCAGAGAATTTGAAAAGAGTTGGTTTGGTTGGGGGGAGGTGAGCCTGGACCCCAGTGTATCTTGGGAACCCTGGCAGCTGGGAAGAACACCTGATCAGGCGCACAGGGTGTGGTTCCCAAGGGGAGAGCCAGGTGCACAGGGACTCATCCACAGTGCCGGGGACATCCAAGGCCATAAGAGGCCTTGGAGGCTGTACTCACTTCACTTCTCACATGCTCTGGTGTAAGATGAAACAGGCTATTAGCTAGTGACAGGCAATTAGTTTCGCCCCCGCCTTGTGCTTCTGCTGACGCAAAGAGGTCTCCTAGTTACATGCCTGACAGCCTTAGTCTTAGCTTTGGTGAAGTGAGTCCCTGGGCTCCCAGGCATCCTCTTTCGGGGAGTGGCACATGGCTGTCCCAGGATTTCTGGTCCCATCTGGCTTCAGTGTCCTGCCAGGGTCTGGTCACACTACCACCATTGGTGCCACAGGGCCCCCACCCCACCAAGTTCGTTTCCATCAAGCCCTCAGTTTCTCTGCACATTGCTAGGGAGGGAGGCCCCAAAACACCCCTTGTCATATCTGTTTCCTGTCCTCAGTCCCTACAGTGGCCTCTAAGGACATCACATCCCCTGTGACCTCCTTGGTTTTTTCACCTCCTGAGTGTCCAGGCCCAGCCCTGGGGCTCCTCACTTCCTTTGCTCTCCAGCTGAGATGCCCTCCTGCTAAATTACCCCCATGGTTCCCTCCTGCATCAGCTTAACTATCATTCACTGGGGATCCCCGGCCACAAACCAGGGTACACTGGTCCTGCTTCCCTCAGGTTGTCTTATATATGTCTATGATCATCTGCCACACTTAGAGCCGGCCCTATTCCCAGGAGCCTCTGTGTTTGCATGTGTGCTCCCCTGCCCCAAGACAACAGTGCAATTCCTATGTTTGTAGTAATATCCAATGCCTCTTCCATTGCTCTGGGCTCTAGAAGTATCCCATAGGCAGCCACTCACCTACAGCCTGCATGATCTCAGCTGCCCTCCCTGAACTACTGTGTCTTTTATGAGGAGGGTCCAAGACAGCATTCTGACCCCACTTAGGCTTAGCCTTGCAAGAATGTTCCCTCAGCCTGCTTGGCCTTCAAGTGTTGTGTGCAGGGGGAGCAGCTCCTCTCTGGTCACTCTTCCATCATTCCAGCAAACAAAGGGGGGCCCAGCCCCTTCCCATCAGCATCTTGTCCTGGTTGAGGTGGGAGCAGGTTTTTCCTCTCCCTGGAAACAAGTCTCCTGGGAGCTGGGAGGTTAGAGCCTGGTCTCCATAGCAACGGCTTTGCCAGTTGCCTTTTCTGTAGCTGGTGGCCCTTCCTCCCCAGGTCCCCCACTCAGGAGCCCGTTCTGATGGAATGGGACAGGCAAGAACAGAAGCACCTTCCTCATCCCACGCTCAGTTTGCTGTGACTCAGTCTCCCCCCTTCAACTCTCCATTGGAACCTCTGTTAAAACTCTGACTTGGGGGTCACACCCCCATTTCCACCCCCTGGTCACCTTGCACCCAGAATGCCAAGCTGAGCTCCTGTCAGCCTCCCTCCTGGGGGGAAGTCAGCTCTGGGATTTCTCATGTTTCTCTTTGCACATTCTGTTCCCTCTGGAAGCATGCCCTTCCCCTTCGGATCTCTCCAGCAAGCCTGGTTCAGACCTCAAAGCCTTTTCCCCATCCCTCCGTTATTCTAATCTCTTGTCTATGGGTACACACTAGGGTGCTGCCAGAGACCAGCCTGACAGTGGGCCAAACCTCAGAAGCTGAGGGTTATGAGAAGGGGGCTGCGGGGGGATGGGGAAATAGGAGCCTCCAGCCCTGTCCTGGGCACAACCCCTAATCCCAGGTGGATGTGTGGCTCATGGTGGTCCCAGCCTTTGCTTTCTAGGGGAATCAAAAATGTGGATTGGGGAGAACTTTTAGTATAAAGGAGACTGAGTGAGGCTCCAGGCAGATCTGGGACCCTCTCGTCTGTGCCCTCCCCAACTAGTAACCTCCCCAACTCAGGAGGCAAATTGTGGAGGCCCAGACATGCCTGAGGGCCAGGCTTGTCCCTGTGACCCCATCCCAACTCCTGATGCTCACAGGGTTGTTCCTGCTTATAGAAGAAGAGACCCTTCCATTAGGGAAGTGGTCTGAAGTCTGTGGGCTTTCAAGTCACTCGGTGAAGATATGAATCCAGCTCTGCCCTAACCTCCCCCCCCCCCCCCCAACTCCTGTTTAGAGCCCCTGGCCCCTCCTGGCCACGGGGTCACATGATGTGTCCTCTAGGCCCAGGTGAGCAGCCAGCGTGGGAGGCACCCAGCAGCTGCCCACATAGCACTCTGCCAGCCCAGCGGTGGCCGGGCTAAATAAACCAGTGACGTCAAGCATCTTGGCTCCTGGGGCTTTGCCTAAGCTGCTTTACAGGGCTGCACTGCTTCATGAGGACTAAGCTCCTTTTGCCCCTTTACAGATTGTTTTCAGGGGGATAATCTGACTTAGCTGATTGTGGAAGTGAGTGACAGATGGTGCTAACTGAGGGTGGTTTTTTGTCCCCACCAACTCTTAGGGGAAGGAGCTGCCTCCCTTCCAGAAACAGACACACATGCTCAAGCACACACACACACACACACACACACACACACACACACACACACACAAAAAAAAAAAAAAAAAAAATTACACCTTCTCTCCATTATGCCTCTCACTGAGGAAAAGGCCCCAGGTTGGATGGAGATGTCTCCAGACCCTGACCTGAGTCTCTGGTACCTTCTTGGGTCTAGGTGGGTAGGAGGCTTCCTTTAGACCGTTCTGGCTGGCTCTTCTCCTAGCAACCCTGGCTTTCTCAGATCTCCCCAGCCTTCTTAGTTCTCCTTTCTCCTCCTCAGTACCCCCCCCAGGTGGGAGAAGGCTCTCTGTGCACCCCCATCCCACCAGAACTCTGTGTAGGAGATGGGAGTAGACAGCCTCTCTGCTAGCTTGGTCCCAAGAGTACACAAGAACCAGGAAGACAGAGGTCAGGGCCGAGGTCCCTTGCAGTGTCTCCCCTCCCTCTGCAGTGCTGTTGGCCCTGGAGCCCCCAGGCCTCTGCTTTGACCTGGGTTGCAGCCATCTATCCCAAAGGCTTCTGTGTCTCCCACTTCTTTCAAACATTGGCAGATATTGGGGTTCAGAGGGCACCTCTGGAGGGGTCCCAGGTTCTTGTGTCCCTGAACAAAGAACAAAGAACAGAGCAGAGAGACATACAGTTGTAGCCAGAACAGCCAACTTACCGAGGAAGGAGCCACTTCCAAGAGAGGACGTGAGTCCTCCAATGTGCAGAGCTGGGCTTCCCAGTTACCTTGGAGCCGGCTTTCCCCTCATTTGCATAGCAAGGGTATTTTGGTTCATTTGCATAGAGTAGGCTTTTCTGAGTGCTCTATTTGTCACATGTAGTTCACACAAATTCATGTGTCAGCATCTCTCACTAGCATCTTACATCTGCCCCCAGGGGTGTGCCACAGTGTTACAATGAGCCCAAGGCCACCCACAGACACTTTGGAGTGCTTGTGTCCTGAGCCAGAGACACATACAGATTTTCAGATTAAAAAAAAATTGTGTTTTCTTTGTCAGCCTTGGTGGTTTGGAGGTGTCTTTTGTGGGAACAGAGGGGTTTCAGTGTTCTAGTGTTCCCCCTTTGCCAACTTGTATTTTTTCATATCCTGATTTTGCAAGGCTTCTGTCCTCTGGTGGCCTCAATCAAGTAGGGAAGGGTGGGGGCCGCTGTGCTGATTGGGGTGGTAGCTTGCACACATGTGACAGAACAGGGAAGAGAGAGGTGATGAGACACACCTCAGGGAGGAACGATATCCTGAAGGGACAGCAAGGGCTCAGATGCCTTCACAATGAGCACCTCTGCTGGCCCTTCCCTGTTGCTGGGGTCAGAGACAGGGCCAGCAGTGGGAGAATCCTCCATTTCTCCAGGAGAGTTAGAGGCTGAAGGTCCAGCAGACAGTATTGCAAGGAGAAACTGTCATTTCAAGTTGTGATAAATACAAGTCTGAGCCTGCCAGAGGGCTGGGGGCAGTGTGGCTGTGTCAAAGGCCCTGAGGCATGTCTGTACTTCAGGGGTAGAGAGAGACCATTTTGTAAAGCCTGGGAGAAGTGTGAGAGGGTGCCCATCTTGTTATACTCAGAGGAGAAAGATGGACAACAGTCTAAGAGTGATGAGAGGTAGATTTTCCATGGGCCAGTGGCGAGAAGACATCCAGTTGCACTTTTAGAGTCTGGATGCTGAGGGAGAAGAGGCCAGTTGCCCTGGAGGTTGTGGCCATCCCCAGCTAAGGGGAGGTGGACCAAGCCCAGGGGCAGCAGACCTGGCGAAGAGTAGAAGTAGGATTCCAGACAGTAATGAAGCTTAGGAAAGTAGAGTCCAGGATGCTTCAAGTGCTCAGTGGGAGCATGTAGGTGCCCATGTGTGACCCGGCACTCCATGCCCAAAGCATTACAGATAGTTAGCAGTTCAAAAATGCCCCACTCACCCTTGGTTCATAAGCCAGCTCACGATCACGGTTTTACTCACACTCAGGGACAATGCCAATTCACAGGTTCCTCTGCTCTGGCAGAAACTAGAGGGATCAAGCAGGCAGGAACATCCCAAGGGGTCCAGGGTGGCTGTTTCCAGAACTGATGGCTGAAGTTTGGAAACAAGGCAGCAGTGTCCTCTCTCAATCTTCCCTGTGTTTTCTCTTGCATGTCATGGCAGAGCGGGATGCCTTCGACACGCTTTTCGACCATGCACCGGACAAGCTCAACCTTGTGAAGAAGGTAGATCTCTCCCCCACCCTCCAAACCCCACCAACCTCACCCCTCATGGGACCTGTGCCTATGCAGACTCTGTCTAGACTCTGTGGACCCAAAGCAGGCTGAGATGGAGATGAAAGGTGTTTGAGATTTCTAAGGTTGGCCTTGTGTGTTGAGACCACACTCAGCAATGTGTGGCATGGCAGTGCTCCTTTATAATAGGGTCATGTAGACCTGACCGAATATACAGCTTGATCCCAGTTGGCACTGGGCCATTAAGACTAGAGCTGTCTTAAGAGCATGGTGTCTGGTACACAGCATTTTTATTTTAGCCCCCAAAGGAGGATCTGGATGGTCTCAGACCGCCATGTTGAGGGTGGGGGTAGGGGGTCTGCAGAAGGTTGCTGATAATGTCTTTGCTTCTCTGCCTTGACAGTCTCTCATCACATTTGTGAACAAACACCTGAATAAGCTGAACTTGGAGGTGACTGACCTGGAGACCCAGGTAGGCAGGGCTTTGGTAGAGGGTCCCTCTGGCCTATGCTTCTAGCAGCTCTCAACTCAAGTCAGATGTGGGAACAAGTGGGGCCACCTTGTCTCTCTTAGGAGGACCTCCCAGTGTGTAGCACTCAGTGTCACTGTAGCTCACTGTATTGCCCCAGTCTGACCAAGCTGGCTGCTCAGACCCTCTGCTTTCTGTAACTGTGGCACCCAGGGACTGAAGGCTGAAGCCATGGGCTCTGCAAGCTGGGAATCACAGTGTGGGCAGGCTCTCTCCTTCCCAGTCTTTCTGTGGTTTCTGCTGTGTTTCTGCAGGCAGGCTTTGGTATCCTTGCGTCTGGAGATGCATCGCTTCCGTCCTCTTTTGCCTCCTCCTGTGTCTGCGTCTTTGTGGTCTGTACATCTGCATTCTACACACAGCTCTCTGCCCCCCCACCTCACCCGTCTCCTTCCCAGAGTTAGTGTCTAGAAATGGATGCATGAGAGCAAAGAAACATGTTGGATTAGAGCCCACACTAATGACACAAGTGCAACAGAGACCCTGTTTCCAAATGGAGTCACACACAGAATCTAGGGATTAGGATTTTGGGAGAAGACAGTTCAACTTTTAGCATCCACCCCCATGACTCCATCCCACCCTGCCACAGAGTCCTTTGCTTCAAAGGTCTAAAGGTCTAGAATGCTCTGTGCCATCTCCTTCTGTGGTAGAGACATTGCAACCTCACATTTGGTCCTGTGACAGCATGGAGACAATGCCCCATCCAACCTGAGGTCAGCGAAATGGCTCGGTGGTAAAAGTGATTACCATGCAAGCCTGAGGACCTGAGTTTTATCTCAAGTGATGCCCATAGTGGAAGGACACAACTGACTCCTGCAAGTTGTCATCTGGCTACATACATACTGTGACACGAACCTGTTGCCCTCCCCATACATCATACAAATTACAAGAATAGAAATAAAATAAGCATCCATTTGGGGAATAGGGACGAAACACTTCTGCCATATGTATCTCACACAGTCTCTCTCCTCCAGCTAGAGCTCATTGTAATGACAGTCTCCAAGCATACAACAAGCCCTGAGGGTCCAACAGAATTTTCCCCAGCTTAGTTGTGAGTTCTAAGTCTGAATCCTCGGCACAGACATCCCTAATGCGCAGCTGATCCTTCCTAAACCCCTGGGCGTTTTCTTCTATTGCTTTCTCTTTCCTTAACTTCTCTCATTTGCTTTTCTAATTAAAAAAGTAATTCAGGTTCATCGCAGAAATGTCTGAAAATGAAGATAAGGAAAACAAACAAAAGTCACCATAATGTATCACCCCACTGCACTCCAGGGTTCGTTCAAACACTTCTCCTGGGGATTCTGGGTATGTGCAGTGTAGTCAGCCTTAGGGAGTGGATTGTGTATGTGTGCATGTGCACACACATGCCGGTGACTTGCAAATGCAGCTCCTTTCCTTAGCTGTTTGCTCATGCAGCACACTTGCTGTGTGACACTTTCGATTTCCTGAAGCTCTGGAAGCTAATGTGAAAGCTATTTCTCTCCCTCACCACTGCCCACCCTCCCTCCCCCAACCATTCCTCCTGGGTTTCTTTCAAAGTGTTCATGCATAAAACAACACACTCTCTTTAATAACTGTGGATCACACTGGACAGCTGTTTTGTAATGTGCTGTGTGTTTTTTCCTCCCTAAATACATTTGGGCATCTTCTTAGAAGAGATGGATGTCTCTGTCTGAAGCTATTTCTCGTTCAGTGTCTCTCTCTCTCTCTCTCTCTCTCTCTCTCTCCTCAAGACCCTGTCTTGAGGTTAGCCTTGGATTCACTTTGTAGCCCAGGCTGGCCCAGGTGATCCTCCTGTCTCAGCCCCCTGAGTGCCAAGGTTATAGGCACCACCATATCCTTTTAACCATAACCTTCTTGGGCTGGGAAGTGCAGCTCAGTCACACAGCATTTGCTCACACTCAAGGCCCTTGGTTCTCTCCCCAGCACTGTTAATAATTGCCTTCCCTTCAGGTGTGAGGCTGCATTAGAGTAAGGCAGCCTATGACTGGGCTCCTTCCCACTCATGGGCATGCCGAGTGGCAGGTGTTATGCCATGCCAGAAGTCATTTGTGCCCTGTCTGTTTCCTTGGGGCGAACATCTAGAAATGGAAGGCAGACATGGAGGCGTAAGAGCAAAGTGGCACGCACCATGAGGCCTAGGAAGGTCTGATCGTGGGAGTGGCTTTGTCTGTGTGGGCAGCAACCCATACCCATGGCAGCCCACCCAACATTTCTTTCTTTCTTTTGAGACAGAGTTTCTCTGTTTTTCTGTGTAACAGTCCTGACTGTCCTGGAACTTGCTCTGTAGACAAGGCTGGTCTCGAACTCACAGAGATCCACTTCTGCCTCCCTAGTGCTGTTTCTTATGTGGTTCCTTAGGACTCACAGCCAGAGTTCTCCTTGTCTTTTTTTCCCTGTTATCACATATCACACAGTGTAAACCAGGCAAAGTCTGCTTTAGCCATCTCTGGCATCCTATTAAGTCAAGTCTGTACTTGGTGGCTGGCCCCTGGAGGCCTGACACCAGATCACAAATGTCTTTATACCTTTTGCTTCTTAGGGACATTTCTCCTGCTTTCTTCTTCTTCTTCTTCTTCTTCTTCTTCTTCTTCTTCTTCTTCTTCTTCTTCTTCTTCTTCTTCCTTCATCTTCTTCTTCCTCTCTTTTTCTTCCTCCTTCTTCCTTCTTCCTTCTTCTTCTTCTTCTTCTTCTTCTTCTTCTTCTTCTTCTTCTTCTTCTTCTTCCTTCTTCTTCTTCCTTCTTCCTTCTTCTTCCTTCTTCTTCTTCCTTCTTCCTTCTTCTTCCTTCTTCTTCTTCCTTCTTCCTTCTTCTTCCTTCTTCTTCTTCCTTCTTCCTTCTTCTTCCTTCTTCTTCTTCCTTCTTCCTTCTTCTTCCTTCTTCTTCTTCTTCTTCTTCTTCTTCTTCTTCTTCTTCTTCTTCTTCTTCTTCTTCTTCTTCTTCTTTCCCTTTCCCTTTCCCTTCCCCTTTCCCTTCCTCTTTCTCCTCCTCCTCCTCCTTCTTCTAAGATTTATTATGAATACATACATTCTGCCTCAATGTATGCCTATGCTGCAAGCCAGAAGAGGGCACCAGATCCCATAGATGGTTGTGAGCCACCATGTGGTTGCTGGGAATTGAACTCAGGTCCTCTGGAAGAGCAGCCAGGGCTCTTAACATCTGAGCCACCTCTCCAGCCCCCAAGCTCCTGGTTCTTAAATCAGATATTTGTGATGCTCCCTTTTCCATTTAAATGCTGTCAAGTGGGAGTCTCCAAGACCCTCTAGGACAGTGGAGGGCTGGGTTGAAAGGGTCACTGGAAGCTGAAGGCCTCTGAGGTGTCCTAGCCCCTCCTTCCTCTCCAGGAGTCCTGCCTGGAAACCTTAGAAGGTCCTGACTGGTGGACCTCCTTGCATGGTACAGGTATTCCGTGGGTGTGCCATTCACTACGGCAGTCACTGGCCATGTGTGTCCGTGTTGAAATATGTTCAGTACCTCCAGAAGCTACCTTCTGTATTTTAATAATCTTTTAAAGAGCCAAACTTAGGAGCCAGCAAAATGGTCCAGAGGATGAAGATCCTTGCTGCCAATCTGTCAACCTGACTTTGATCCTGGAACCCAAATGGTTGAGGGAGAGAACTGACCCCCACAAATCGTCCTCTGATGTCTACATGTGTGTGCATGTGTGCATACACTCACCAAATAAATAATGTCATTAAAAGAGAATCAAGGGGGCTGGAGAGGTGGCTTAGTAGTCAAAAGCAGTTATTGCTCTGGTAGAGGACCTGGGTTTGGTTCTTAGCACCCACATAGCAACTCACGACCATCTTTAACTCTAATTCCAGAGGATCCAATGCCCTCTTCTGACCTCCATGGACACTGGGTATGTCCATTGTGCTTACACATACACACGTACATACATACATACTCACAGGTAAACACTCACACACAAAGTAAATCTAAAAATAAAAAATATAGTCAAATTGAGGAGTTCTGAATATTGCTTGCCCAGTAGTGATGCTACTGGCTGTCTGAGTGGTGACGGTGTACAAACAGGCACAACTAAAATGGTTAGTCAAGAAAAAAATCAACAGAGGCTAGGCGTGAAAGGATGGATGCGATGTGACCCATGTGTGTGAGATCCCCCAAGAATAAAACCCCTGGTAGAAAGGATATGGGGACTGATGGCACACATGTTCCTAATATCAATACTTGGGAGGCTGAGGCAGGGAAAGTGGCTGAAAATTGCAGACTAGGCTAGGCTGGAGTGAGAACCTGTTTTGAAAAACACTGGGCTATGGAGAAGGCTCAGTGGGCCAGAGCACATGTTGTGTAAATATAAGGATCTGAGTTCAAATCCCCCACACCCAGGTAAAAAAGCCAGGTGTGGTCATGTGCACCTGTAATTCCAGTGCTGTCAAGGACCAGATAGGAGGATCTGTAGGACTCATTGGCCAGCCAAACTGGCTGAAAATGTTGAGCTCCAAGTTCAGTGAGAAACACTGTCTCAAAGGAATAAAGTAGAAAGCAATATAGGAGGACACCTGATCTCCTTTGATCTCTGCATGCTTGCCTATAGGTGTACCCATACGCACACAATAAACTAACATTCGAGTGTGTGGTCTCGAGTGCCTGCGTGCGCGCGCGCGCGCGCGCGCGCGCACACACACACACACACACACCCCCCCACACACACACACGCAAAACAACAACAACAACAGCAACAACAACAAAAAAACAAAACCCCAAAGTCTAGCACTCAAGAAGCTGGGGCAGGAGGATCATTTTGAGTTTGAGGCCACCCTGGGATACATTTATAACCCTGCCTCAAAAGATAAAAAAATAAATATAATAATATTAATAATAGAAGGAGTGTGGGGGTTCCTAGGGAATCAATGTTTAATGGAGACAGAATTCTGGAGATGGCTTGTGGTGACGATTCGTGACAGTATGAATGCACTTCATGACACTGAAACACATAAAAGTGCTAAAGATGGGGGCTAGGAAGATGGCTTATCACCAGGTTAAGGCATTTGCCACCAAGCCTCATGTACATACTAGTACACACATGGTAGAGGGAGAGTTGTCTTCATACCTCCACATGTGCACCATGGTATATTCATGTACAAAAAATAAATAAAAATCTAAGGGCTGGAGAAATGGGTCAGTGGATTTGAGCATTTGTTCCTCTTGCAGAAGACTCGAATCCAATTCCTAGTACCCATCCCACATAACGGCTCACAACTGTAACTCCAGTTCCAGGGGGTCCAAAATCATCTTCTGATCTCCATGGGCAACAGTCATATACATGGTACATATGCACACATGCAGGCAAAACACTCATACACATAAAATAAATCTAAAGATTAAAATTGTGTAAAACTGGTTAAGGTGGCAAATTTTATGTTCTGTATCTCAGGGGCCCTTTGCCACCACTGTAAAAAGCAGTCATTTCTCTTTCCTGGCTTGCTCAGGGAGGAGCATGGGTATCAAGACTGAAGGCCCTTTGTTCTGAAGCCCTGGTCCCCTTCTGTGGGTGACTAGGGCATGGCCTCTTCCCTTGAGCTCTGCTGAGAGTTGGCAGTGCAGGTTGGGAGTGCTGAGTGAGATGGGGTCCTGGGGTGAGTACTGCATCTGTGGGCATTCCCACACCTCCTACACACATGCAGGGTGTCTGTCCATCCCACACATGCCACAGAATTGTCACTGAGTTTTCTCTGCAGTTTGCAGATGGTGTGTACCTGGTTCTGCTTCTGGGCCTCCTTGAAGACTACTTCGTCCCCCTCCACAACTTCTACCTGACACCTGACAGCTTTGACCAGAAGGTAAGTGTCTCCTGAGAATGGCCCCAGCCATGCTCACTGGGGTAGACAGAAGGAATGTCCCCTGATGCCACTGGCCAGCTGCAGCCCTTTAGTATTCTTTAGAATGTGAAGCTACACATGTGGACTCCATCTGATATAGCTCCCTGAAGACAGAACAGGAAACCCCTTTGTGGCATACGTACATAAAAGTTTGCTTGGTCATGTCTCCTCCAAGTCTTTCCCACAGGCTCAGGGTTTTTTGTTGTTTGGTTGGTTGGTTGATTGGTTTTGGGTTTTTTGTTTGTTTGTTTTTTCTGACTCTGGTCAAATGCCACATACAGCTCTTTGGGCTTCCTTGTTTTGGGAGCCTCCGAATGTTATGTCCCAGAGTGACATGTGTGGCTCTGTGGCATGTGTCTCTTACTTCGAGCTTCTGTCTGTGTCAATTTGCTTCTATTTTTCCTCCTGCCACAATGGGGCTTTTTTTCAAATATTTACAATCATCCTTCTGAATCTGCTGGGGACAGGTTCCAGGACCCCCTTGGGTACTAAAACCTGCAGATGCTCAAGTCCCACATGTGAAATGTCGTATAAAGCATAAAGCCTACACACTTCCTCCTGTAGATGTTAAATCCCGTCTGGTGCCTTATAATATTTAATGCAATGCAAATGCTATTCAAAATAGCTGCTTTCTGTATTGTTAGGGAGCAACAGTGGAGGGTGCTTGTTCAGTATGCTGCAGTCCCCCAGACACTGTCCATGTGCGGTTTGTGTCATCTGAAGACTTGTGTGTGTGAATCTGTATGCATCTGTATGCCTATGTCTGTATATATGTACATGTATGTCTCTTCATGTGTGTACATACAGGACTGTGTGTGGCCATGTATGCGTGTGTGTCTGTGTATGTGTATGTCAGTGTGTGTACATGTGTATGTACATGTCTGTGTTTATGTCTATGCTTGTGTGTCTCTGTTTTATGAGTATATATGCATTCATTTATATAAATATACATGTCTGTATGTGTGTGTCTACATGTATGTACACATGTATGATATTTTTATATCCTCATATATGCCTTGTAGATTTATATGTGTGTGTATGTATGTGTTTGTGTGTATATGAGCATACATGAGTATGTGAACATATGTATATGTGTATGTGATGGGACTGTGTGCATGTATGCATATTTTATTTCTGTGCTTGGTTTCTTAGAAAATCTCTCCTGTAGGACCCTCTGAATCGACCCCGTACCTCCTGTGTTCCTGTCTCTCACCTTCTGTGCTGTCTGTCCCTACCGGGTTTCCTGCAGTTAGTTCTGCAACTGAAGAGTTAGTGCCTCACTTCTGGAGACTTGGTAGAGGCCAGGCTGGGCTGCTTAGGACTCATGGCACCTGCCACTTTATTGTTCCAAAGTGTGAGGCCCATGAGGAATGGAGGCAGACGTGGCAACAGCAGTGGGAGCCCGGGTAACAGCAGAGGACAGGCCAGTGTTTATCAATCTGCCGGCTCCTGGCACCAAGCAGTCTGCCTGCTCCTGGCCAAATGCCGTTCCTATCATGCCTGCAGAGATAGAATTGCACAGATTATAGAGGTCTTGGCATGTTGGAGAATACACTGGGGTGGAGGGAGAGCAAGGGCAGTGAGGAGTGAGCGGTACAGAGCTCATCAGGACCCTGGAGCCTGATGCAGTAGTAGAAATCAGAGGGCAGAGTGTCTGGTGTACAGGTTTGTGCATATCCAGACTCTATGTGCCTCTATTATCTCTGGGAAATCTTGTCTTTGTTTAAACCAATAAGGAGGCTGGTCAGAACTGTGAATAACCAGTAGAACTGGGTCTCTGTCCCTGTCCAAACAAGGCTCTGTATAGACCAAAGAAGCCATGGTCCTCAGCCTGACTTTCTCCCTTTGAAAGCAGGATGAAATCTATGCTGGCACTGCCCTGGCCTAGAAGGCTTCAAGGATGCCTCTGGTGATGAACACACATCCAGAGGGTCCACCCATTCTCCAGGGAGGCAGGAGTTTAGGGTGTGTGACTCTGCAGGCATCTGGGGCCCTCTCCTTGGGGAGTTACGAGGATTGGGTCCCTTTCTTATTTGCGTACATACACACACACTCTCTCTCTCTCTCTCTCTCTCTCTCTCTCTCTCTCTCTCTCTCTGATCTCTTCTTCCTGGAGTGGGCGGTGAGGGTCATCACAAATTATTGCCACACCTCTATGAGCCCTGATCCGAGTATTTGTCTCCTAGTACTCATGATTGGAAGGGCCATGCCCTGCTCTGGGGCAGGCAATGTCTCTGATCAGCTCTGTGGTATGAATTTGAGCTTCCTTTGCTCTGACCCTGGGCATCTCGGTGACATCTCTTGAGTACTGAAGGAGGCAGAGATTTAGCAAGCCCAGTTGGAGATGTACCAAGAGGTGCTCTCTCAAGCAAAGCAGCAGCCTACATTTTTGTTTGTTTGTTTGGTTTTGGTTTTGGTTTTTCGAGACAAAGTTTCTCTGTGTAGCTTTGGAGCCTATCCTGGCACTCGCTCTGGAGACCAGGCTGGCCTTGAACTCACAGAGATCTGCCTGCCTCTGCCTCCCGGGTGCTGGGATTAAAGGCATGCACCACCAATGCCCTGCGCAGCCTACATTTTTAACCAAAGACATTAGTCTGGGGATGCTGCTTGGTTGGTAGAGTACTTACCTAGCATATACAGGTCCTGGGTCCAATCCCTGGCATTGTGTAAACAAACACAATGATAAATATCTGTAATCCCAGAAGGTGGAGGCAGGAAGTTCAAAAGTTATCTTCCTATATGTAGTTTGAGCCAGCCTGGGCTAAATGAGACTGTCTCAGAAAAACCAAAACAAACAACTTCAGGCTAAGGAATAGCTCAGTGGCAGAGCACATGCACATGCCTAGTGTGCAGGAAACCCTGGGTTTTCTCCAGCACTGGGGTGGGGGAGGGGAGCCACAAGACCAGGCAGCTCAGACCCTGTGGGTTTCTGCCTTATGTTAATTCTTGATTGACATGGTAAGGGAGATTATTGCTGGCATTCCTGGCTCATCCACAGTGGAGTGACAGACAGTGCTACTACTGGAGAGACAGTTGGTCACTGTGAGCCCTCAGGCCTGTCCAGCTGGTGTCTGTGCCCTTGCTGGTTTGGTGGTCTACCTTCCCATCCTCCTCTGCTCAGGGCAAGCAGAAGCTACACATAGTTTGGTTGGTCTTGGCTCCTGTAGACTTTAAACATGATGGAGAGGCTCCAGCCTCTCTGGCCATCATTAGCAGAATGGAAGCCTCAATGGAGTGTTCAGTTGGGTAAGCAGAGTGGGCAGGCAGATGGTCAGGGCCGGGACCAGAGACCTCCATGCTGGCCCTTGGGGTAACCTCAATTTCAACTGGGTCAGCAATTGCCTCAAGAACAGGGTACCTCACAGACACAGTCAGGCCTCCACAGATATCCAGCTCTTTAGTTATCTGACAGGTAGCCCAAAGCTGTCACTGCCCTGTGCACAGAGGAATGTCCAGAGTTGAGTGCCTTTGTTCCCCAAGCCTCAGTTTCCCAATCTGTCATTTCTCATCATGTAGTCGATTTTAGCTCAGAGCTGGAAGCTGCTATCCTCCCATCTTCCAAACGAAGATCCGTGACATGGGGAACAGGAACTGTTGAGTTACCCCAGTGGATTTACTGTGTGTCTTTACCCTGTGTCCTGTCCTCTGTCCTGGTGGGCTTTGTATAAAGGGAAGCTGTCAGTTCTTTCCACACAGAAGAAGAAAAGAATGTGGACATGGTCAGGTGTGGAGGACATGGACATCACTGGCACTGACCCTGTTTCTGTCTTGTCTCTGGCAGGTGCACAATGTGGCGTTTGCCTTTGAGCTGATGCTTGATGGAGGACTCAAGAAGCCCAAGGCACGCCCTGAAGGTAACACTCCACCAGAGAGCACAAAAAGAGGGACAGTAGGGGCCAGGACCCAAGGCAGCCTGCATGTCCTATGGACAGGTGGCAGACATTTTTCTGCAGCACATGGGGCAATGCAGCTCACAGCTCCGGCAATCTGTCCTCTTCAGCCAACTCTGTCTGTCTGTTTCCTTCTGCAGATGTGGTAAACTTGGACCTCAAATCTACTCTGCGGGTCCTTTACACTCTGTTCACCAAGTACAAGGATGTGGAATGACAGCAGCTGATCCTTCTGGGACAGTATCTAGGCAAGAAAAATCAGTGTATCTGTCCACCAGGAGACACTTCTTCTGGGGAGGCCTCAGGCTTCCCATCCCAGCTGTGCAACGCCCCTCCTCTCTATTCCCTGCCTGGTTTGGTTGTTGTTTTAAACCCATTTCCTTTGTGTCTCCCCAGCCACCGGCCAACCAGTTAGGCCTTTGAGAACTTGGTGCTTAAAACACCCTCTCAGGTTTGAGGCCTCACTTCCTCTTTTTCTTCAATGAAAATGAACAAAGCCCTAGCCTAGCCCTCAGCTGGAGAGGGCTGTCCACCTGTGCTCCAACCCACAGAGCAATTACTGATGGCAGGAGCACAGCAGCCCCGGCTCCAGGGACTCCGCCCCACTTGTCCTCAGGAATCCCCTGGGCTATGCTCTCCTTGGAAGCAGGGTCTTGTCTTAGTGAAAAAGATCTTTGCAGTTTTTCACTCCTGTCTCAGAAGCCTTAGACTTGTGATGTGTGTCCCTGCGCCACCCCCATCCATCTTGTGGTTTACTGGTCTTGACTGACCTTTTACATAAACTCTCAGGACCCAGAATGCCTCCGGCCCCCAGAGAAGCTACACAGGGCCTGTTTGGGTCTCTTGCTGGCTCTGAATGTGCTGCTTGAGCCGGCTTGGAGCCAGAACCTTGCATCTCTGAGGCCCTGTTAGGGAATGGATACATTTTTAGAGACTTTACAAGGGGGTGGGTATCCATTACTAGGGCTGCCTGACCACAGGCTACAGGCAGCCAGGATGACAGAGGCTGCATCTGGCGGCTTGGAGGCTGGAAGTAGACAGAGGTGCTGGCAGGACTGAATTCTGAGGTTTCTTTTTCACGGCTTCTCTCTAACTTCACACCATCCCTTTTCCTCTACTAGTCTCCTCTTCCTTCTGATGTGGAACCCATCCCCTGTATGACCTCACTGACCCCATGACAGCTGCAAGGTCTCCAAATGCAGTCTCCCTCAGAGTAGGTTTGTGGGGCATGTCTCAGCTCGTTGGGGGGTGGGGCATATGAAATGCCCACACCCTTCCTAGAACTCTGTTGGCACCCCCTGCAGCATGTCTTATAACAGAAAACGCTGCCGTTCACACAAGCCATTCACCACTCATTCTCCTTGACTCTAGAGAGGTGTTGGTGATGCCATAGCTGGCTGGCTTCTTGTCTCGGGAATCCTACTTCTGTGATTCACCCCCCTCATGTTCCTCCTACCTCCAGCCTTCTATACGGCCACCCTCTTCCTTGAGCCTTCAGCATCCACGGCAGCTACTTCTCTCTCTTCTTATTCCCACTTTGCCGTGGACCAGGGCTGTGAAGTAAGGTGCTGATACCAAATAGAATGCCAGCAGTGAAGTTCCAGCAAACAGTTTAATATCCTCCCTTGGTTCCACTGTTGCTAAGCTGGGGATGGGCTTGGAATAGTTTGCTCTGATGGAGGTGGCTTCCCAGCAGGGGAAAAAGATAATTAAAACGGCATTACCGTGTCTCCCCGTGGGAAGCAGTGACATTAAAGAGCCACACTAACAAAATAACCAGGACTGGAACGTTCTGTGCAGCCTTCCCTACATGCACACAACCACAGCAGCATCTGGGAGCTGCTGGGTCCTCCTGCTCTGCTCACAGGTGGTCTTGGCAAGGGTGTCTCATATCCCTGGGGCAGAGAGCCTTGATGCAAAGGGTTTGCAGAGACCTATGGTGCTGAGGGGGGAAAGGGTTGGTCTGAAAAAGGCTGTGGTTCCTGCACATCCCTATCTGGAGGACAGAAGTCCCACTTGGAATCTAAGTGGACGCCTTTGCCCTCCAGCAGGACTGGTGAAACCAGGGTTCAATAAGGCATGACCTTCCCTGTTGGCTGATTGTGGAAGTGTGGTTTTGAAATGCCAGTGAAGGGCTACCTAATGTGGAGTTAGCACTCATACCACAGCCTGGACAGAGGCACTGAGAACTCCTAGGCCAACTTCAGGGCCACCTGTGTAAGGCAAGGCTTTCTTCACAGATAGCTAGTTGGTGCCCTGTTAATTTAGGGAGAGCTATCTCCCTCCATGCCCTCAGGTAACCAGTGCCTCCTCCCCCAACTTTCCCATGGCTGTCACTGGGGTCTCCCTGGAATGCAAATACTTCCCTTTGAGTTCCAGGAAGTTCTGGAACCTTCTACTGTTTGGATCTACATTTTCTCCTGATATTTATTTGAAGAGAAGTCTGCCCACCAAAACTGGTAGAAATGCCACCATCTGTCACCCGACACTCAGAGTCACAAGAAAGGGTCAGGCAGGTCTGCACCCCCCACCCCACATCTGCAGGCCAGGTCTGGGGTTGCTCCCCTTTGCCCTGCACCAATTGGCACATCTCCAGCCCGGCTGACCTGGGTGGACCAGCAGGCAGCTCTTGTTCCTCTTTAGCACCCAGTTGTGGGAGCCCTGAGCCCAGGGCCCCTGCGTCCTCATCGACCTGACAAAACGGGATCTTATTTTCAAACAGCCAAATCCTTTCCCCCTCTATGCTGTAGCGCTTTATTGTCTTTTTAATTGTTCGAAGCAAAGTGTCCTTTGGATTTCTGGATATTAAATAAAAACCACTAAACCCCCGGCTGTGCTTTGATCAGACCCTCCTGGCAGACAGCAGGGACAGCGTGCTTGCGACAGCTCAAACTCATGGCTTCCTGTGCCAGACATTCAGGCTGGAGACAAAGCCTGGGGTGTCACAATGTGCTCTGACTTATTCTAGTAATGAGCTCAGATGCACCAGCTGGCCTCTGACTCTTTGGGGGGCTGCTTCTCACACATTCCATGTCCATTCTCCCTGCCCAGAGCTGGGGCTGCATCATTTCACGTTTCCAGGCTGGCTTGAACTCTTCCTTCTGGAGCTACCAGGCACAGGCTTGAAGGAAGCTATGGTAGGGAGCAGAGGGCAAGGGGGGGGGGAGGGAATGGGCTTCCCTGCTCTCTCTGTGGAAGGAGTAGGAAGTCAAAGCCAGTCTGTGATGGCAACCTCAAGTTGGCATTCCATACCCCCTTCCCTGAAGAAGGCCCTTGCCTCGGGTACATTTTCTCTACAGAGTGATGCTTATTGGGAAGCCAAGAGTTCAAGGTGAGTCTGGGCTACATAGTTCCAGGGTAGCCTGAGCATCGAGTGAGACCTTGTCTCAAAACAGTATTTCCTACTGTCAAATGCCCAGCTGGCAAGTCAGTGAAACTGTTTAAACAGACTAGGGTTCAATGGGTAAGGTGCTTACTATGTAATCAGGAAGACCTGAGTTTGAATCTCTAACTTTACGTTCTGGGTGTGGAGTTGGGAGTCCATCATCCCAAATCTCCTATAAGATGGGAAGTGGAGACAGAATCCCTGGAAGCTACCTGCTAACCCAGCTACTCTGGGGAATACAGCAAGGAAAAGCAAAAGGACCCTGCTTCAAAGGAGATAGAAAGTGAGACCTGACACCTGAGGTTGTCCTCAGACCACTACACACATGCCGTGTGTGCCCCCATTCACAACAAAAACGTGTGCACACACAGACTTATTTTAAGCCAGCTAAAAATGACACTGGCTGGGAAGGATTTACGCTCTGGATGGGCTCTTGGGCTCTAGTCCAGCTTTGTTTTTTCAGTGACTGCTGGTGGCTTAATTTGCCTGAGCCTCCCAGTTCTGAGGGACAGAAACCAGCCGTCTTCAATGCCATGTCCCTCGGCGATGTGTTGTAATGTCTGGAGGTGGACTGGTTGTCATAGCTGGGGTGGATGAGTTACTGGCCTGTTGCGGAGGCTTGACTTACTACTGACACCCTACAGCTCACAGGACAACAATTAGTGTCCCCAGATGTCACTATGCTCAGTCTGGGACACCCTGAGGTAAATTGTCAGCTCCTGGGGTAGTCCATCTCGACTTTTTTTGTTGTACAAGATTTTTCTGTTACTATTGGAGAAAAAAAGAAAAGAAAAGAAAAAAATCTTTCCCCTTGGCAACTGGGACCACAGCTCAGTTGTTAGAGTTCTCAGGACTTTTTAGGAGGCTGAGACAGGAGGAGCACCTTGAGTTCAAGAGCAGACCAGGCTACATAGTGCTAGGCTCAACCCCCAACACATGGTGGCATATGTCTATAATCTCAGCACCAGCGGGATCAGGAATTCACAATGAGTTCAAAGTTACATGAGAGACTCTAAGGAAAAAGTGTGTGTGGCTGGTTGGGTGGGGGGGGGCATGACACTTATGTCCTATTTTGCTTTCTATTGTTGTGATAAACACCACAACCAGAACTAACTTGGAGTAGAAAGGGTTTACAGTTCCACATGGTAGTCCTTCACCAAAGGAAGTCTGAGCCAGAACTCAAACAAGGCAAGGGACCTGGAGGCAGAAACTGAAGCAGAGGCCATGGAGGAGTATTGCTTACTGGCTTGCTTCTTTATAGAAACCAGGACCATCTGGCCAGGGGTGATGCTACCCACAGTGGGCAGGGCTCTGCCACATCAATTATTAATCGAGAAATGTCCCACGGGCTTGCCCCATTGGCCAGTCTGGTGGAGATGTTTTCTCAATTGAGGTTCCCTCTTCCCAGGTAGCTCTAGCTTGTGTCAGAACAAAAGCCTAACTAGCACACTAGTTTTTTGAGGCCAGCCATGACATGTGACCAACCTTTCTGACTGGTTGATCAGAGCCCTTATAATGGCCAGAGACAGAGCCGAGTTCTGGTTCAGGAGACTGTATGGATGACTCTTGGTGAATCAGGGTGGCAGGGTGCAGCATGGCGTCGTTAAACGTGTCTAGGAACTCAAAGCCAGCTCAGAGGAGGGACCAGAGATGAGGGCTTCGTGGGCAGCTCAGGCCTTTGTGTCCCTTATCTCTCACAAAAAAATGTTTCATTCCATTCTCCTGACCTGCTGTTGTCAGGCCCCCAGGAAAGCCCACCCAGTTCAGGAGTTCCTTGGATGTGTGAGGTCAATGGGAATTGTATGAAGTCTCCATGTTTACCAGATGTCTGTAAATGCTGCTGTTCCCACAGCTTTAATCTAGTTTGCTCCCTGTTTCTCCCTTCCTATCTCTATTTCTTGGTATTTAAAAGTGAGTTCTCATCTACCCTTCTGTCATGTACCAATCAATCCATGTAATGTAACATCTGTCTGTCTGTCTTATCCATCAATAATCTATCTTGTATATTAGTCTGTTATCTATCTACCACCCGTACCTGTCTATCTACCTGCCATCTGTTTAAACTGATGACATGACCACTCCATGGTATGGTTAAGGGGAAGGCTTTTACTAGAGATACAGAGAGAGAACAGCCAGAGGATCTGGAAGAGTTCAGAGCAGAGAGAGAAAGTAGATTGAACCCAGCCAGCAGACTGGACATGGCCAGGACTGCCTGTGAAAGAGGGACAATAGCAGGGGATAGAGAAAACACAGGGAGAGAAACAGGCACAGAGCAGAGAGAAAACAGTGAAACAGCAGGGTTATAAGGAGAATGAGAATGTGTGTCGGGAGGGGAGGGGAGCCCATGAGCTAGGGGGAGTTTGGGGTAGGGGAAGTGGTGAGAAGGGCTAGGATGCTAGCTAGCATGGACTTTGGAATGAATGGCAGGTGCTTGTGACAGTGAGGGAGACTGCAGGACATGCTTTGATATGCTGATAGGCACCATGTGTAACCCTAGTCCCTTCTGCCAGAAGTAAGGAAAGAACTCCTTTGGGTAGAGGGGAATTGGCTTCACAAGCTCCTGAGGAATGATAGCCTTTATCTAATCTTCAGAAATCCTTCTATAGTGTCCCTTATCTCTCACAAAAAAATGTTTCATTCCATTCTCCTGACCTGCTGTCGTCAGGCCCCCAGGTTTAGCCCATTTTCTGGATATTTGGGCTGTCTTTTGGAGTTTGGGGAATTGTAGTTTCTTTCGGCCTTGACACCATTCACTCATCCTATCATCTATCTATCTATCTATCTATCTATCTATCTATCTATCTATCTTCTCCCCATCTGTCCTCTGTCTGTACCTATTTGCTATCATCTAGCTTGTTTGTCTATATATCCACTCCATCTATCTCCCCACTTCCACCTATCATCTATTTATCATGCTTATGTATCAATCAATTATCTCTCAACACCTATCATCTATCCTTTTGTCTTTGTACACATGTCACACACTTTGCATATGTCTTCCCCATGCTATTCTGTGACACGAACTTACTACAAGTGTCTTCCTCAGGAAGTAACTGGAGCAGCGTTATCGGCCCTGCAGATCTTATTCCATTTGACCAGCTGTGCCATTGATGTTCATTGTCTGGAGGAAAATGCAAGCCCAGCTTTGTAGTTCTTGGGTGCTAAGAGCTCTCAACTGGCAGAATCTCAGTGCTGTCCACATCTCAGGCTAAACCAGAATGAAGCTGTCACTCTGCAACTTCACCTGCTTCCTGCTATTGCAGCAGATAAGCTACCTGTCAAGCTTCCTTATTCTTCCTCAGTGATTAGATGCCAGAAATTTCCCATGAATCCTCAGAAGGAGCTGAGGGAAAGGCTGTGCCAGTCACCTGCTCATGAACACCACATGTATGATTAGGGTCTGCTAGACTCTGGCCCCATGTATGTCTTTCCCCATTGACCATGGAGCATTTTGACTCACTGGTTTTGTAGACTGACAGATCAAATGACACCCAGTGTCTGGTGAACAATTCAGAGTCCATGGTTGCTTGGGGTACTGTCTTAGTTTTGTTTTCTGTTGCTATGACAAAACATCCAAGATGGTAATTTACAAAGCATAGAAGTGTGTTTGGCTCATGGTTCTAGAGGTTGGGGAGTGAGTTCTTCAGCAGTGTTGACATCTGTTATGGAACCTCCCAGGACAACAGGACAGAGCACGTCTTATGGAGAGGCAGAGTAAGTATGCCAGTTTAGGTCACCTTTTCTCTTACAGAGCCAAGCCTGGGAATCCCACCCTCAGAACCTCATTTAATCCTGGCTCAGTCCCTTAAACCCTGTCTCCAAACATCATTAGCAAGTGACTAGGGATCAGGTCTCAACACATGAACTTTTGGTGGGGGACATATTTAAACCACAGCCTGTTCAGGCTGAAGCCCATACTGGAACTGGTGGCAATCTGGGGGTGGGGGTGGAGTTCTCAACAAGAAGGGTCATGATGCCATTGGACACCACTGTACCCCACCGCTCAGAAGCCAGGACTAAGACTTCTCCACTGCCACTGTCCATCATCTTGGTGCACTATGCACACGTGCAACCTCCACGGCCTGGCTGTTTCAGAAGAGGCGGGTGACTGAGCTGTGGGCACTACTGCTAGGGCTAGGTGCAGATCTTCTGATTCTGTCCCCAGTAGGCAGCCTTATAAGTGCCGAGACTCAAGGCATGCATGACCTTGGTGTCTAAAGAGCTGCCATCACTAAGCCCAGGATCTCCTCCCTAAGCTGCAAGAGAAAAAAGATTCAACCCTTGAAGTTCCATTTGGGAGGGGGTTGTCCTTAGATTTCCAGGCAAGTAGATCCCCAGAGGGCCATGGGGTAAGCAAGCCCCTGGACTAGCATACAGGTGTCCCCGAAAGGCATCCAGAACAGGGCTGCTCACTGTTGCCATGCCACAGGATATATACAAAGAA